TTTTTTTTTATTATTGTCATTAGTGATTATTTCAATTTCGGCTAAAAGAATTGACAAAATCCTACACACAGTGCCTTTAACATCGGAACTGAACATGTTTGTTTACTGACAAAAATAAAGGCAAGGAACAGGAACAGACACTAAAACAGACTGACCTTCTGTCTGAGTGTCCACTGATTAAAATAAGAATTGATTCCTTACAGACAGAGAGCAGCAGTGAAACTGACAGCCTCTCTTACCCCTCGGCTGCTTGTCCTCTTTTTGCTAACGTCTTAAGAATCCAAGAGCRTCCTTTATTCTGCATCATGATTCTGTAATTATGGATTCCTTCGGCTCCTTTGGTTCTTCTGGGGTTTGCTTTTTAATCCAGTTTTTATATTTACATTTTATTCAAAAATATTTAGTTTATAACTCTGATTTTCCTGAAAAACAGTAGCACCCGCATGCAATGTAAAGAGTAAAATCCAACCATAGGAGACAAATATTCCTTCCTCTCCCAGATGCCACGAAAACCATCAGAGCAACACAAACATGGCCACACTTTTTTGSTGCGGCGCTAATAAAACTCCTTTGCTGAAACAAGCATTCTGCTGCATATCTGCGGACGATGTGAGAAATACTTTGAGGAGGTGTCCGACGGATCCGACTCAAACTGGAAACGGGGGAAAGAGAGATGATGTATGAGGTGTATCGTTTAATGAGCTGCTCAAGTTGCACATTTTTGCCTTCCAAGAATCGTTCCTAAAAGCTGGCAGGTTTGCCAGCGTACAACATATTGAATTTATCTGATGCAGAGTTTTCAACTGTGGCTTTTACTGAAATATGTCATCATTTAAATGAAGTACGATTTTTCAAGCAGGTCTGTTGCAGACTCACCAGAACGTCCACAGTCAGAGCAGGACACCAGCTCCTCTGCCTGTCCCGTTTTCCTGTTCGAGTCCTGGTCTCCCAGGCAGAAGTCACAGTAGTCGTTGGGAATAACCGCACCATCCGAGCCCTTTTGAGCTGACATAAAGATGAAGCTACTTGAGTTACCTGAAAGTATTTGATTCTGTATATTATGAGGTTTTGTGGACATGTTTTGGGAAGTCGAATAGAAGGTCGGTGTCTTACGTTTGTGGTTGTCTGAAGCTGGTGGAGAAGGCGGAAGCATCTCTGTTTCTTTCTCCTCCTCGCCCTCTTCCTCAGCCAGGTGAGTGTGGGTGTAATGGTAGCTCAGGCCGGGGCGGTTCTTGTAGCGCTTCCCACAGACTGTAAGGTAAAATGTCATGGGGTCATTAGGAACGCACAGTGGGGAAAGGGGGCAGTGAAAAGATTTAAAGTTTTAAATTCTCTTTGACTTCTTGATGGAAAACTCACAGGACTTGGTAAAGCATGTTTCTAACTCTTAGTTCACACAAACATCGCTTTCTACGACACTCACTGACAAAAAAATGTTAAGTACCCAGAAGAAATGGTTCAGTTGTGACATAATTTGCTACACATGCAGACCGGGCTTCCAAGTGGTCCCACAACTCCCTGTRCCACTTAAAAAAGTAGTCAATGGAACGTGCATCTGCAAAACAGTTTATAGGCTACGACTTCAGGGACACCTCTGGGAGTGATTCTGGGAACCCTTATAGTATTCGCTACATCAGTTRCATCCTAGCATATCTTATCCCTCTGGAGACAGCAACCTGGTTTATGTGTGGGGTCACTTTTTAGTCATTAAGTCCAACCCGGTAGCAGTCTGTCCAATGCATGTTAAATTTTACAATTTGTCTGGCCCAGTTCTGGCCCACACAATGCACTAATACTTGGACCAAATACAGCAAAGGATAACGTCTCTTCGGTGGCCCAGAGATGGTCCATGAATGGGCTAGAACACATAAACCAAACCATAACCAGGTCAGTTGTGACATTTATGGATTTGGGCCACATAAACCAAACCACAATTGGGCCAGTTGTGGCACTGACAAATTTGGGGCACATAAACCAAACCACAACCAGGTCATTTGTGGCACTGACAGATTTGGACCACACAAGCCAAACTATAACTGGGCCAGCTGTGTCACGCTATCTTAAAACACAGTGCCAATACTGCCAGACCTGGCCCACATCCAGTTGACAAACCACTTAGCAGTGCCAGCTTGACACCAGGATCTGGCCCACACCTGTCTGCTATGTGGGGCAATTATTGGCATAAAACCAGCAGAGTGCTGGTACCGCCAACACTAATATCCATTTGATATGATATTGAAGCAACTGCAACACAGCTACATACAGTCACTTTTCAAGTCACTTTACTTTATTTTCCCCACTCAGTCTGGGTACAAAACCTTTTTTGTTTTTGTCAGTGATTGTGTCAATTTGAAACACACTTAAATGCTCTGTAGGATTTTTTTTTTAAGTTTTATTAGTAACAACTGAAGTGAAGTAAAATACTCAGTGTGCTGGTATGGAAAAGGTTTTAGCTAATAATATAAACTCTTCATTTTCTATTTTAGGGATGGGCAACTGGTGGCATACACACCACAAAAAAATTTAATAATTTCTTTAACTGAATTGGTTGAAATTACAAAGTTTGCCACTAGATGGCCATCTAGCAAACATGTTTTCTCTATCAGTGGGGGCGAAACAGAGAAATGGCTAAGAACAGAGGAAAGAGACAACTGGACAGAAAAAATAGCATGTTTCAGATAAAATGGGAGGCAGACTATCTGCTCACGAAATGTTTAGTCTGCTTAGCTATACACTCCTGATCAAAATCTTAAGACCAGTCAAAAAAGTGCAAGAATTTGCATTTTGCACTATTGGATCKDRARAADGTTCTAAGTAGAGCTTCACAATGTTAAAAGAAGAAATCAGTGCAAGAGACAAGAACTTTTGAGCAGGGAATTTTCTGAAAACTGCATTTACACTCAAACATGATTTTTTCAGCTGATCAAAAGTTTAAGACCATAGCTCAAAAAAAAAACCCCGAAAACCCCCCAAAACAGAAATCAAAGTGTCAAAAAAAGGGACTCAGTAATGAGTAGCTTCACCATTCTTGTTGATGACTTCATATAATAGTTTAGGCATGCTTGATGCCAGTGTTTCCAGGAGGCTAGTGGGAACGTTGCTCCAAGTGTTGAAGATGGCTTCACGAAGGGCAYCCACTGTCTGGAACTGATGTCCATTTTTGTAAACTTCCCTTGCCATCCATCCCCAAATGTTCTCAGTTGGGTTTAGATCCGGGGAACATGCAGGATGGTCCAAAAGAGTGATGTTATTCTCTTGGAAGAACTCGTTTGTCAGGCGGGCATTGTGARCTGCAGCATTGTCCTGTTGAAAAACCCAATAATTACCACACAGACGAGGGCCCTCAGTCATGAGGGATGCCCGCTGCAACATCTCCACATAGCCAGCTGCTGTTTGACGCCCCTGCACAACCTGAAGCTCCATTGTTCCATTGAAGGAAAACGCACCCCAAATCATGATGGCGCCCCCACTGTGCCGTGTAGAAAACATCTCAGGTGGGATCTCCTTGTCATGCCAGTAACGTTGGAAGCCATCAGGACCATCAAGGTTAAATTTTTTTCTCATCAGAGAAGACAACTTTCTTCCACCTTTCAATGTCCCATGTTTGGTGCACCCTTGCAAAGTCCAAACAGGCAATTTTGTGGCGTTGAAGAAGACGTGGCCTTTGAAGACATTTTTAGTTTCTGAAGCCCTTCTCTCACAGATGYCGTCTGATGGTTATTGGGCTGCAGTCAGCACCAGTAATGGCCTTAATTTGGGTAGAGGATCGTCCCATGTCTTGACGGACAGCCAATCGGATCCTGCGGCTCAGAGCTGGTGAAATTGTTTTGGGTCTACCCCTTGACTTTTTTGTTCCATAACCCTCGGGATCATTTAAAAAATGCAAAATGACTGTCTTACTGCGTCCAACTTCAGCAGCGATGGCACGTTGTGAGAGGCCTTGCTTATGCAGGTCAACAATCCTACCATGTTCAAAGTCAGTGAGCTGTTTTGCTTTTGCCATCAGGAGGTCTTGACAGTGTAAAGACTTGACAGAAAATGACATGGAATCCAGATTTTTGCACAGATTTTGGCTTTTAAAGACTATGGTCTTAAACTTTTGATCAGCTGAAAAAATCATGTTTGAGTGTAAATGCAGTTTTCAGAAAATTCCTGCTCTAAAGTTCTTGTCTCTTGCACTGATTTCTTCTTTTAACATTGTGAAGCTCTACTTAGAACCTTCTTAAGATCCAATAGTGCAAAATGCAAATTCTTGCACTTTTTGACTGGTCTTAAGATTTTGATCAGGAGTGTATCTACACAAACATTTTTAAAGTGGCAGTTTTATTACATTTTGGTAAGCGGGCAGCGCTATGTGGCTCTCTGGCAGTGTTAACAAAAAAATTACATCCCCTTCCATCATTTAATTTGCCCATTCCTATGTAGAAGTCTTTACAGTTAGCACATTGCTAATAGGTTTATTATCACACAGTTCTTCAGTGTGTCATTGCTGCAGTCGTTTCCTGTTTAAAGTTTAATTTGACAAATTCCATCARATCTCCATGTCCAGCTTCTACAAAGAAATAAAGGGTTAATAATTAAATGCACTCCATGTAAATACTTCTACAGATGTWATATCGGTCAATAAACATGCATCCCTCAGCGCAGCGTCAGCGGAGCTTCTACGTCAGCATCATTAGCAGCAGCAGACCCGCGGCGTAGCGTTAGTGTCATGCAGCACTCTCACCCAGCTCGTGAAGGAAAACTTAAACAGGCAGCGTTTTTAAAGTGCTCACTGAGCAACAACAGACGCCAGGTAGCAAAAAGGCTGATTATAGCGAGCGTTCATGAAAAAAAAAAATTAAAAGAAAGACAGGGGACAAGTTCAAATACCTTCTTCAGCCTTTTTTGAGTTATGCTTTTGTTTGTATCTATCTGGAACAGAGAAGACACACACAGACAGGCAAACAATAACGAAAAGACTGAACAAGACATTTAAAAAAAAAGTGAAGATGACATTCTTCATTCCTCTGTTTCAGTCAGCATCTCGATACACAAATATCCCCCGGTAATCCATTCCTGAGGGACTGTGTCCAGGAAACAGTGGCATGCTAAATTTAAAGAAATAGCAAACTTTTTTTTTTCATGCTGAAGAAAGCTGTTGTCAGGACCAGACAAACAGAAAACTATCATTAAAAGAAGGGATATGTACATTTCTGTCTATAACAAGAACTCTTCCCTTTTTGAAAAAAAAATCTGTTTTAGATAGTGCGTGAACTCATGAGTAAATCACAGATGATTTTTTTTTAACAGGACGGTATACAACATCCTTACTGTCACAGACGTAAGGTTTATCCTGGTCATCAACATTAACAGTCTCTGTCCTTCTCCGGGTCGAGCCTCTGTTCTGAAAAAAAAAAAGAGAAAAAAAATCATTGTACTAATTAGAAGCTTTCAGTGATTTTATTCAACCATTATTTTTCCAAGATGGAGGGAATATACAACATAGAAAAACAAGAACTGGGTACACAAATTTGAATTTATTGTGGATTTTTTTTCCATTTAAGGTCAAAACTTGGCAAACACACTCAGAAATATACCCATGCATGAAATGACTTGATTTAAAGAACTTGATCTAAGAAAGAATTGTCGATTTACACAAGTCATTAAAGGGATCCCCCATTAGTTGTAACATTAGACTTTATTTGATAAACATATATTTTAACTGTAAAATAAAGACTGTAAAAATACTGTAGTGCTGTAAAATTTTTAAAATATGTTTTAACACAGAGAGAGCCATTTTATTTACACGCAAAGCATTCTGGGTAAATGATGACATGGATAGGTCCTCGGTGTGAGCGAGCTATATCCACCGTGAAGGTTAATCTTGGACAATATCTGACGATCGGCTCTTTTAAATGAAACCAGAGAGCGTTGACAGAGAGGAGAAGGTAGAAATGACTCAGCCTGTAACTGAAAATATGGATGGAGGACAACAGAGCTGCTTCATGGAAGAAGAACCTCAGCTTAGCCTGTTAGCCTTCGCACTAACGCTATATTGCCTTATATGTATTAGCTCGGTGCTAGCACAACAAACAAGCTAAACTGAGGTCCTCCATCCATATTTTCAGTTGCAGGCTGAGTCATTTTTGCGTTCCCCTCTCTGTCATGTGGATGGAGGACCTCAGTGACGAGAGGAGAATGTGTAGCGCTGAGCTAACACATATATATGGTGATAGCGAATGGGCTAACGCTAAAGCCAACAGGCTAAGCTGAGGTTCTTCTTCCATGAAGCAGCTTTTGAAGCTATTTTTCAACTATTTCATTTCAAGATTGTCCGTTCAAATATTTGTACCCAAGTTCACATTATCACTGTCACTTTCACGTGACAGGAAAATGACGAGGATGTTCAGGAACAACCCAGGAACCACCAAGGCTCAAACCTGTCATGAACAGGAAATGCTGGACCACCAGTGTCCCTGTCTACAGTGGAGCCAATTTTACACTACGGCCTGAGAGCGAGCTGACCAAAAAAGAAGCGCTTGTCCGTCCTCATGGAAAAAAACAAATGTCTTCTGGAGAAAAAGGCTATGGTTAAACAAGACAAAGTTCACGCTACTTAACTTAGATGTKTTTAGGAGTCAAGGTAAAGCTTCAAAACCTACAAACACCATAGCAGCCTTTGAGCAAGGCGGTGGTAGCATCAYGCTGAGGTATGCTGCACAAAGTTAATGGAACAATGGAGGGGGACTACTTCCAAGTTCTTTGCCTCAAATCGACATAAATTCAAACCTGCGCAAACCAGTTCTTTGTAAAAATGATTTAAAATCTTTCTTKTTTTTCCTGTTACACACTTTTCCTCTGTTCTTGTTCTTTTTCTTTGGCGTATCAACTTCGAATTCGTCGTCATCGTGGAAACTGTCCCCGTTTTCCTCTGCYTCCAGCACTCGCTGCATGAGAGGATCACGCAAGAATGTTAGGCCAACGTCAAATAACAAAATACATAAGAACAAGTCGTTTTAGTTTAGTAATGCTTTATCCATTGTTAAACTGTCCTAAAGCTAATGCTAGCATCAGGGGAAGCAAAACCATCCTTGTGTGTTTGAGATAATAACGCCATTTAAAAATGTGAGTAATAATAAAAGAAAATCACCTGAATTTCCAGCAGAGTCTCCTCTTCCTTATTGATGTTGTTCTTTTTATTCTCCAGCAGACTGTCTGCCTTCAGGAGGGCCTCCAAGGCTGTCGCCTCTCCTGGTGGCCCCTCACGTTTGGGGGCCAGCTCTGCTTCTGAACACATAGGGCGGGGAAACAACAACAGAAATAAAAACATTGTGTTTTTGATCAAGTTTTTCTTTTACCAACAGTATGAAATTCTAGGCTTCTCTTGGAGGAAAAAAAATCTATTGGAGTCAACAAATCTTCAAAGCAAATATGTACTAATTATTATTAATTATAAGACCACCGGCGCATTTCAGCTCAATTTACTAGTGTTTTAGTTGTGTTACGTTAAACTGTCTGATCGTTAACCTGCTGTAAGACAACCAGCAAATTCTCTAAACCTCAGGCTGAACAGAAACATTAACTGTAGAGACCTTTAACCTGGCAAAGAGTGTAATCAGTAATATTGAGTTTCTGGTTGTTTTAATAATTGTGATAACAGTTAAACTAAAATAAGCAGTAAATAATCGCTCCAACCCCTGATTAATCCCCCATGTTTTCTCCTACTTGGCCATTTTTGATTTGTTTTCGCTGAGATGAACCTGCTGCAGCACTTAGTCCCTGCCCTCCCTCTTTAAACATTAAAAGCAGACTGAAAATAAAGCAGGTTCAGAAAACAGAGGGAGTCTGCTGAGCCTCAAAGGTACTTATTGAAAGCAAAAGTGCACCTCTTCCTCCTTTCATGCCTTCCTGTATCCATTAGCTTTGTAGAAAAACTSGGTTTTCCTCCACGTCCCTCCCCCCACCTCTTACAGCTCCTTCCCTGTTCACCCGTGGTTGCTTTGGACTCTTTTGAGCACTTCACCTCCGACATCATAGAAGCCCCGCGTAAAAWCCACGWTCAGGGGTCTTTCTGTCGCTCAGCAAGTGTAACCGCAGACAATCATGAATGGTAATGCAGAAAGTGTTTGGCCTGGTTGTGCTGTAATTGGCAGTACATTTCCTGAAACAAATGACATTTTTGTGCATTGTAAGGCCCAGTGCAGCCTGGTCTGGGTTCAAACCAGGGTTCTGCATGTTTGAATTTGCCATTATGGTCCCCTTCCAGCCTGATTTCTTGAACCCAGAGACCTGCGTTCTATTGTCGATTTGATGTTGCTCTGTTTCAGCTGGTCTTGAATTATACGGCGAATAAAGAGAGGTACCACAAACAAAGACAATTTTTGTCTCGAATAAAACACCATCACATAAAGATTTGCACTTTTCTCATATGATAACACGTTCTCACTCCAGACTCGTCAACATATTGACGCTTGGTCAGGGATCGTCTGCGTCCAGTTTTGATGCGTCGGATACCCCCCTCGCGTCAGTCCTTGCAGACGGCTACCTGACCAAGCATCAATATGTTGACGAGTTGGGAGTGAGAATGGGTTGCATATGATGATCCCCCACCCACACTGAGGTAGGAATAAGGAGAACATTGGATAGAACCGCTCCTTTTTAACTCAGTTGAAATTTTCAGATTTATTTATTCAGACAGCAGGACAGTTTTCCACTTGATCAGTTCCAGTTCACAAATGAACATCTTCTAACTAAAATCTTCAGCTGTAGTTGAATCGTGTTATTTCCGATCCAAATCTTTTGCTGCGTTCCAGTTGAAACTTGAAATTCTCTAGTCAGATTGACGTCAGTTCTGAGTTGAAAGTGTCCCAGTTTCCAACTTGTCAGGACGTCAGAAAAAAAGCGTTTCTAGTTTTTGCTCTGCAACAATGACACTTACAACAACATTTTGAGTGTTCTAAGAGCATTAAAACAGATCTCCTAATAATCGCAACGACTGGTTTAATGTAAAGTAAACAACACAGTTCCCTGTGTTGAYGCGAGGAGCAGCCATGTTGAAATGTTGATGTCATGCGTGCTCAGACTGCTCAGGTATATGGTCGTGTTGCACCGACTTCCCGACTTAAAACCACGACATTAGGGGCCATTCCGGTCCATTTAACTGACTTGGAAATGCAAAACTCTGACCTATAAGAACAACTGGAATGAAGCACAAGATTTTCCAGAGCTAATAGTGTTTTCCATTGATTTCAGTCCATGTTTACTTCTAAAACACCTGTTTTGAAAAAAGTGTTCTTGTATTTATGTTGCTGACCTACACCAAATAAGCAGTAAGTGTAAAGAACATTTTTTTCTACTTTAAATTTCTTTGGCCTTCCTCTTTGTCTTTCTTCTAGCAGCTGCACGTTTAACTTCCTTCCACTGATTAGTGGTGTCAGTACTGGTATTGGGCTTGACACCAGCCTAAAATACTCCTTCTTGTACCAATAGAACCATCTAGATTCTTTGGAACAATTCCACTTTCATGCATTGTGATGTCATTTCCTCTTCCACTTTAACTGTAGTTGAGGGCAAAGAATAAAAGATGTTTGTAGTTTTGGGGATTTTTCAAGACAAACACAGGTGATGTTAAGACACTATGTTCCTAAAGTCATTATGTAATGTTKAGGTACTAACTCATTAACTACTCTGTAATGGTACTCTGTATGAATCAAACTAGTATTGGGGCATCCCTACTRTAAATATACCCACCGTCCCCCCATCACATGACCATCTCAGTCTGTCTCTCTAAGTTTACCTCCCAGTCAAACAGCGCAGGTTGAACAGGTTGGAAAAGATTCCCAGTCTGTGTGTGTGTGTGTGGTGGGGGGGCACCAGATAAAACAAGGGGGGCATAAACTTGTCTGCTCAGTGTTTGTGAAAACATCGATTTTTTTTTCACATATAAAAATCACCAAAACATGTCCATTTGWATAATTAAAACTCTGTGTATCTCAGTTCTTTTTTTCCACTTTCCAAATAAAAGTTTGGAACTATTCACTTTAATCTTTTATTATTTTTGATAAAGAGATAAAGGTTGAACGCCTGTTTGGGAGGGGTGGGGCATAGCCAGGGACTCAGCTTGTCTTGGATGTAAGGAAGGGGGGTTTTGAGGAAAATAAATTGGGAATCACTGGGTTAGAGGACATGGAGTAGTTGGACTGAGGACAAAGTGGGACTGTGGCTGTGGTGAACCCTGAAGCAGATGAAAAAAAATGTAAATTTACTACAAATTTCCCGTCTTTTGTTGCCACTGTTTTAAGTGTACAGCTGTCATCAAACTCATTATCTATTTTAAACATTAACATTTCTCTGTTGCTGGATTTAATATGTTGTATTTATACAAAGTTGTATCAAAATGCAGTTTTATGCATTTGTTTGAGTCTTATATCATTTCTTTGGTTTATACTACTGGAAGCAAATTGACTCCCGAGTCTCTAACCCCCAAAACACAAGGAAAAGCATGAACAAAAGCAGTGAAATAAATCTCGTTTTGAAGCAGTCGTGTGACAGATTCTACTGTTTGCACCCGTGCATGCAGACTAATCTCTGTGCAGGACGCATTAAATAAAACATAAAGCATCTGACAAAGCCCCGGGAGGAAAGAACTCTCTGTTCACGGTTGTTTTGTTGCAGATATTTGAATTTGATATCAWTAAAACTAAAAGGTTTCCTAATTTTTCCAAGGAATTTCCTGCCTTTCTTGTTAACTGCTGGTATTCTTTTCTGTTATTCACTTTGGTTGGTTGCTCAGTTGCCACTCTGGGTATTTTTTTCTTTTTCTTTACAAGGACTCCCTCTCTTCGGCTTAAAGAGAAATGTTTTTTTTTTTTTTCCAGAAAGCTCATGGGGTATTAAATTGCRTCTCAGAGACGGAAAGAAGGAAACAATGAAGGGAGAAAAAGCCACAACAAAGACTCGCCTTTATTTCCCCACATCTTATCAGGTTCATGTGCATTCCGTCGCTAAAATCCAGCTCTAAAACGCAAACGCTGTACGCGTGCACGAACGCACACGATAAGGCGCACGCTGTCACCTCCTGAGACTTACGTTTTAATGCATCATGGGCGAATGATTGTGGAGGCCCAGATAGGGTGTTTCTGAGCTGCAGCGGGAAGCAAGAGTCATGGGGGGGTGTTTGCGTGTGTGTGTGTGTGTGTGAGTGTGTGTGTGTGTGTGTGTGTGTGTGTGTGTGTGTGTGTGTG